TGTTGATAATTTCTCCTTGCAATACCATACTAAACCTTGCATGGAGTCGATTGGACTCCTAGCGACCCTCTAGACAGAATAGAACTGTAAATCTTTACAACAACAGGCTCATAGATCTCTTGGGGAGCATCGGTTGCTTTGAACTGCTGGCTTTGTGGTTACCAGCCCAGTGTGTAACTCCCTAGGCCACCAGGGCACCCTAAGATGTGCACAGGTAAAGTGTGTGAGGGGAGACATCGATCAGTGTAAGACATGAAAAAGTGATAATTTATAAATTATCAAGGGCTCATGAGGGAGGGGGAAAATGAGGAGCTGATATAAAGGGTTCAAGTAGAAAGAAAATGTTTTGAGAATGATGATAGCAACAAATGTACAAATGTGCTTAACACAATGGATGGATGTATGGATTGTGATAAGAGCTGTACGAGCCCCCAATAAAATGATTTATATAAAAAAAAGAAATAAACAATATCACCAGTGGGGGGAGAGGGAAATAGAAAAAACAGGTATAGAAGGGAAATTTCTCAAAATAAGAGACATATATGTGGGGGTCGAAAAGAAAATGATGTGCACAGGTGGCTCTAATCTCCCAGGACCCGTATGCCTCGAATCAGATCCACAAGGGCCATGAATTTAATTGTCAGTCCCAGGAGATAGAGTCGTGCCTCTTATCTGAGCCTTGGTTTCCCCAGGCATAAATCAAGGGCTCTTTCTTTTTCTCCTTTCTCCTTCCTCAAAAAGCCCACCAGCGTCCGCCCTCTGTCCAGCAGGGACATCTCACAAACCCAAATCCGCAGACAAGCTCCATTTCCCACCCCCCACATGACGTAATGCATTCCTAGCGACACATGCGCAGAAGCCTTCTTTGGGACTCGCTGAAGGACAGGCTTCGCCTCCGCCCAAACCCGTCCCTCATTGGCTCGGGTAGAATCATGGTCGCTAGGATACCATGTACTTCCGTTTCCTTCCCCCCCGCCCCCTCCTAGGCTTCAGCGAGACTACGTTCGTCCATTTGGCCAATGGCAGGCGGACAGTGGGCGGGACTTCATCCGCTCGGACCAACGAAACGCAGGCTTAGTTGGGCGCAGCGCAGCCAATGACCGCGGGGCAGCCCCTGAAGAGTGGCTAGGGCACCCCCACGCCCATCTTCACTCCTCCCAGCCCCGCCCCTTCCCAGCCCTGCTTTAGCACGGCGCTGGCCGCAGTCTGACAGGAACGGGACAGAGCCAAGATGGCGGCCGCCGACGGCGACGACTCGCTCTACCCTATTGCGGTGCTCATAGATGAGCTCCGCAACGAGGATGTTCAGGTGCGGAGGGTACAGGGAGCTCGGGAAACCCGGGAATGAAGACATGGGAATTCGGGAGGCCCTCGCGACCCGGCTCCGCGCTCGCCGGG